GTATCTGTCTTCTTGACTAATGCTCTTGTCTCTAATTTCAAAGCAAGGGATATCCATTGTCCTTGTTCCAGCTTCACCAATAAAAAAATACAGAACATCATTTCTGTACGATTTGTTGCCAGCCTGTTTACATATGTAATATGGCTTGAGTGGTTAGTCGTTGTAGAGATAATTGCCTGCAATTAACTTTCTATGTAGCTTAAAGTATCAAATAGGAGAGGATTCCCTATTTGATGCCAAAAGTATTGGGACGCCGGCCTTTACACGCACATGAACTTTAATAACATCCCAGTCTTAGTCTGTAGGGTTCAATATTGAGTTGGCCCACCCTTTGCAGCTATAACAGCGTCAACTCTTCTGGGTAGGCTGTCCACAAGGTTTAGGAGTGTGTCTATGGGAATGTTTGACCATTCTTCCAGAATCGCATTTGTGAGGTCAGGTACCGATGTTGGACGAGAAGGCCTGGCTTGCAGTCTCCACTGTAATTCATACCAAAGGTGTTCTACCGGGTTGAGGGCAGGACTCTGTGCAGGCCAGTCAAGTTCCTCCACCCCAAATTCGCTCATCCATGTTATTATGAACCTTACGTCATGTGTAAAGTCCCACCTCGGGGTAGGTGTACCTATGGATCGCAACAGCGGAGGATGGATTAGGGTCAGTATGCAGCAAGTCTCTTATGCCTCTGAATGGAGTAAGGCGGTGAGAGTGCTGCTTCACATCATACCCCGTTTTCATAAATAGTCACAGTGGGGATATGCGCTATCACCACGTGGCAGTGGCCTATGCAAAGCGCAGTAACGAATGTCAGTGAAACCGCATCAATGAGATAATAAACTTGACTATGGTATCAGCACAATAAATGAGATAGTAATCTTGGATATAGTATGAGCACAATTCAATGAGATAGTAATCCCCAATATGGTATCAGCAGATGAGATAGTAGTCTTGAATATAGCATAAGCACAATTAAACGAGATAGTAATCTTCAATATGGTATCAGCACAATCAATGAGATAGTAATCTTGCTATGGTATCAGTACAATCAATGAGATAGTAATCTTGGCTCTGGTATCAGTACAATCAATGAGATAGTAATCTTGGCTCTGGTATCAGTACAATCAATGAGATAGTTAACTTGGATATAGTATAAGCACAGTTCAATGAGAAAGTAATCTTTGGCTATGGTCTAAGCACAGTTAATGTCCCTGGGGTCCAATGCAGGAAGACCCAGGTACTTGCGGTTGTACTCCACTTGTTTCGACTGGCATCTGCAGGTCCACTGAGTGGGGCTGTCTCTGGTTGCTCCGAGGTCCGAGTAGGAGGTGAGGAGACGCTGTGTTGATCAGCGTCCTGCCACATTTGTTAGTAGGACGCCGATCAATTAGTGAACCGTGGCTTTAACCCTGCGGCTCGTGTGAAGGGGGGAGGAGCCCTGTGACGCGGCGGCCCTGCTGCTGTCTCTCCTAGACAGGGACGCTCGAGTCCTGTGGCGCGCATGCGCAGAAGGACGTCGGACCGTGCCGCCGACCCGGGTGGCAGCACGAACATTACATCATGTTGGAACAGGAGAGGGGCATCCCCAAACTGTTCCCACAAATTTGGGAGCATGAAATTGTCCAAAATGTCTTGGTATGCTGATGCCTTAAGAGTTCCCTTCACTGGAACTAAGGGGCCAAGCCCAACCCCTGAAAAACAACCCCACACCATAATCCCCCCTCCACCAAACTTTACACTTGGCACAGTGCAGACAGGCAAGTACCGTTCTCCTGGCAACCGCCAAACCCAACCACGCCCATCGGATTGCCAGACAGGGAAGCGTGATTCGTCACTCCAGAGAACACGTCTCCATTTCTCTAGAGTCCAGTGGCGGCGTGCTTTACAACAATGCATCCGACGCTTTGCATTGCACTTGGTGATGTAAGGCTTGGATGCAACTGCTCAGCCATGGAAATCCATTCCATGGAGCTCTCTACGCACTGTTGTGCCAATCTGAAGGCCGCACAAAGTTTGGAGGTCTGTAGCTATTGACGCTGCAGACAGTTGGTGACTTCTGCGCTCTGTGTCTTTCAGCATGCGCTGACCCTGCTCTGTCATTTTACGTGGCCTACCACTTTGTGGCTGAGTTGCTGTTGTTCCCAGTTGCTTTCACTTTGTTATAATACCACTAACAGTTGACCGTGAAATATTTAGCAAGGAAATTTCACAGAACACCTGAATCCAATGATTTGGAGGGGTGTCCCAATACTTTTGGCAATATAGTGTAGCATGTGAGTGAGATAATGCACCCCATGCTTAGAAAACACTAGCCAGCACAAAGCTAAGCTTACTAAAACTCAAAACAATAAAACATACAAAAGGAGAATTTGGAAAATGCTGCATCCCTATATAGCAGTGTAAATATACAGATTATGAACATGATGAGCAGTAAAAGCTTTCAATGCATTGCCTATGGAACATTTATGGTATTGTAGTTTTGTGTGGTTTCACAGGCGCACGCAATTGTAAGGCTTGACATATTTGATATCCATTTATCCAACGTGACTCCATCTTTTATATTTTACCAACAAAATGGGTATTATATTCTGTTTCTGTACACTAATTTTCATCTTAGTGTATTTTATCCTAAAAATACTAATTTGATAAACATTTGCGCAAATACTGTGCAACATAAAAAATTGCAGCTAGCATGTTTTTATTCTACAGGGCCTCTGCTTTCAGAAAATATATCATTGTTTGGGGGTTTTAAGCTGTTTTCTAGCCAGAAATTCAGATTTTATCATGTATGTGCAAATGTTAAGACGGCACCGGACGGCAAGTGGTTAAACAAACAGGAGGCAGGGTACAACAGACATCAAAAGCAGCCTTGTTGCGTTACACGTGCTGAGTACCTACTCATAAACCTAATGTGCTTTGTGAGTAAGCATCCAGCATACAAAACGCATCAGGGCTGCTTTTAAATCCTGTTGCGCAGTACCTCCTGTTTGCTTAGAGCAGGGGTAGCTAAACTACCATTCCTTGCTATGGCTCAGATGCATGATAGTATTTGCAGTTTCCCCACAGCTGGACGGCTCCAGTTTGGCTAACCCTGGCTTAGAGTGTATATCTCTTTTTTAATTTTGGAGAGAATAAGGAAGGAATAAAGGGTTTTACTGCAGTGTATAGAGAGATCCCCCTTCTTTGTTTCCTGCTGACTATTGTCCAAGAGAAAGAAAGTTTTGTAAATTTGATGAGAAAACCAAAATTTTACAGTTGTCCCCAGAAGACGTAGTAAGGGGAAATCTCCGAGTCGGGTCTTCTGTAGACAGCTCTCTAACAGGGGATTTCTATCATCCTGTTGCATATCTGTGAGAGGAAGTGATAGGAAATTTCCCCGATGGTACAAAGACAGAAAACCATGAAATGGCAGGAGTTTTACCTATTCTTTACTCTACCCAAAACTAAAAGAAAAACTAATTTTTTTTTAGCTATGCATACACTTCTATAAACTGTGCATTACTCAAGCCATTATTGTGGATTCGTGTATTTGATATTACTGTCTGGCTGCAATGTATTTAGTCTTGTGGGCCTAGGTATGCACAAATGAGATGAGGAAGTGTTTTTTTTTTATTCTTTATTTATGCAAAGAACATGTTTTCAATTTTTACAATAAAAAATAGTGTAACAGTACAAGAAATGTACATTGTCATAGAGACAGAAAAACATACCAATTGGACAAAAAACAAGTCCCCAGTAAAGTCCATTGATCTTTCCCAACCTATTTGGCTACCTCGAGTCTCGCTCTAGTCAAAAAAAACAGTAAAACCCAGACCCAGAGCAGGGAGATTTTGTAAAATGTCCAACTCCAGGTAGAAAATTGGTAGAATTGTTAGAAAATATAGAGAGAACTATTGAGGACAAAAAAGAATAAGGAATGCACAGGCTTAGGAAGACATAGTACAGAAAGACAGAATAGAGAACGGAAGAGGAATAGAGAGAGAAAAAAGGGGTAAAAAAATATATAGAAGGAAAGGAACAGGTGTCGATGAAAAAATAGCTCAGAGCCGGCCTCCGACCTATATATTTCTGCCAACCACTACAATATATAAATAATAAATCAGTGACCTCTAATCATCTGGTGCGCAGAGAGACCGATATTCCACAGAATTGTGTCCAATGGAACCAGCAAATGAATAGTAATCACCTGCACTCAGTAAAAGATTTCAAATGATAAAGTCCACATGTTGGTGTTACATTGTTGCCCTGATGAAGGGTCCCTACGTGGCCTCGAAACGTCAGTTATAATTATTGCAACATGTATGACGATCTGTCCGATTAAATGGACTTCATCATTTGAAAACTTTTACTGAGTGCTGGTGACTCCTATTCATTTGATGTGCACAGCGCCATCCGTGAGTATCACTATAAGCACCATTATTGTGGTTTTGTCCAGAGATGTTGCAAGGAGTGCAGGGGGACATATTGGACTCCAATGGAACCAGACATCTTGAGACCCTCCCCCCATTTGGGCTTCCTCAGCTCTCAATTCCTTCATTAGTCTCATTTCCTCTACTTTACGGAACCTCAGATCAATGGGCAGAGGAGATGGTTGTTTCCAAAATAAAGGAATGCATGCTTTAGCTGCTTTCAGGAGATGAATGAGCGAGATCCGGAGTTTTAACATTCCTTGTACCCCTTGAGGCGCCACTTAAAAGTTCCCCTTCTTCCTCTAACAGTTATAAGCTCCCCCAACCTTTGATCCTGGTCAAACCAGTCACTGTTAGAGTAATTAATAGCAAGCATAAGCAGAGGGATCTTGTCTCATTGCTGACCCTAGAGCAGAGGTGGGCAAACTCCGACTCTCCAGCTGGTGTGGAACTAAGAATCCCATGAGGCATTGCAAGATTCTCACAGCCACAATGATCCTGAATTAGATAAAACAAATGTTAAATATAAACACGTATCTGCGCATTATAAAATCTGGCATTCTCCTACAAGTGATCTATAAATATCCTATGTTACAGATTGGTTACTGGAATGATATGGATAAGCTAGTTTTACTGCAACATGAACCATCCTTAAAAAATGACAGTTCCGCCATTGAAAACCGCACAGTCATTGTTACTACAATTCTGGTAAGTCGTTTTCTATATAAATAAACTTTAACGTGTGCATTTTGTTTTATTTTCTTTAACTTAAAAACATGAATATACATTATATTATTTAAGTGGGGAAAAATCTTTTCTACCTATGCTCCAAATTTAAAAACATTGAAAAAATCCATGGAATATGTTAATGTATATTTATGCTTTATATATTTGAATTGAAATTAATTTAATGTGATATTATATCTTGAAATAAATAAAATTACTGAATATTTTTTTGATTTACAACAGCAAGAAATGTAACATATATTTACTTACTTTAATGCTGTGTTGCATTAAAAGATTACTGTACTGATTAGCTAAAAAAAAACTCAAACATTGTATGACCAAATTCGATAAAATTGTTTTGATGCGCTTGCAAAATCTGAGACCTAGTTATGATTTTCAATGTTTTTCTAGTGATTATCAATATTTTTCTGAAGAATTAATGTTCACAGAATTACAATACAATAAATAATGTTCACAGTATTACAGCAATAACAATAGAAATAACATTTCATATAGACTGTACACACGTTAATCTACCTGAAAAACATTTTTATTTTTTCAAAAGTATTTATTTTCCTAACATACTTGAAACCACCACAATCCCCTCAAAATATATACTTCCCATTTATTACTTGTTCAATAGAAAAAAGCTTATCGACATTTAGCATACATTTATAACATAGAATACGTTGCATGTGTATTTTTTCCTAAGTTACATCGTGCTTTCATGAAGGATGAATATATTGGTTTTAGTTGTTTCTTTTAAATGATTAAATATCAATACAGTTCTTTTATTTTAGTAAATGGTACAAACATACAAGTCCTCTCTGCCTTTAAGATAATAGTTTCTTAAGTTAGCACTATGACCAGTTTTATGTTGTCAACATCAATAATTTTCTACTACTGGTGAAAAATTATTGAGATCCACATGCTACCGTAAAGTAATTTAAGAAGCTAATTTTGAAATTTACAACAGTACATTTTCCTGTCTATACAACGCACAGAAAAAGCCTAGACAGCCTCATTTCTTTTGCTGTAGAACCGTAGAACATAAATCACCTTTCTTTATTGCGCAGTAATATCTAGCGTATTTGTCAGCCTCAAAATTCAGACATGCCCTTTAAATCTGTTGTCAACACAGGCAAGTGTAGGGTGACCTTTATTTGTCTGGACTTTCCAGTACATTTCTCTGAACTTTTCACCTTCTCTGTTACACTTGGTTTAAACAGAATACATCTATAAAACAATCTTAAATGGGAATAATGTGTTTAAGACTTTCTTTTCTTTTTATCTTTGGCTGTTGAACACTTAAGACACGAATGGATATCTTTTTTATCATTCTAATAATTCTGCTGTTACAGGATTATTGTACACACTTCTATGTACAGGGAGATAGACTGCTTTGCATGATAAGTTATACACTCTGAGCTGTTTGTACGTTGCATTTTTTTCCTAAAAGATTCAGTAATGGGAAATCATACTTCAGTACAGTCCTCCTCTTTTCAGCCTCTGATGAAGAATCCTATTTTAAGGAATTGATCAAGAAAGAACATTTTCAAGACCCAGCGACCATGCCTTGCTATGGCTCAAGTAAAATTCAACAATGTAGTCAAAGTAGTGATTTTTTTTTTTTTCAGTCTTCAATGTGGATTAATATCCTTCTGACTTCATAACATCCATCACACTACTTATGAAATGCCTTGAGATATATTTAAATACTGCAGTACTGAAAGATCGTACAACTGCTCCCAAAAGTTATCCAATAAAAAATGAATTGCAAAACTGGAGGCTCCCTCTAAGACATCATTATGCTGGTAAAAGATAGCTTTTCAAGTGGGAATAGTCAAATGTAAAATTAAAAACTACATTTAAATTAAAAATACACGGCATTCCCTACATATATATTCTGTTAAAAAAAATCTTAATTAAGTATCATTTTGTAAAAAAAAAACAAAAAAAACTTAATACTATACATTTTACTATACAAACAAATAAGTTTGCTGGCTAAAAATATGTAGTTTATAACGTCTATATAATTATAACAATACATTTTTCATTACTTACATTCTTTAGTGTTGTTTTAGCATTTCATTTTGTATATTATGCTGTTTTTTGCTATATTGCCTGCTGCTGTGGCCTAATACTTCACCTTTTATTCACAAGTGATGTTTATGGTAGTGTGTAATGTCATTAGTTTAGCCTTCTAAGTTAAACAGATTATTTGCATTAAAATGCTTAATGAAAAGTGTTACATTTCACTGCTGGCTTTAAATATGTACAGTGGTGTCCCTTGTATGTTTGAAAGGATTCCACAACAGGCAATTTTTCTTAAACTGTTTTTACAGAACCATTATTTAAATCAAAAGATCAAACATTTCTTTTTTTTCAATACTGGTAAGGCTAACTCTGGATTTCTACAGGAAAAAAAACAAGCAAACAGTAACAATATTTATTAAAAGTGAATTAATTTTAAAAAAAATTAAAACGTTGCACATAGGAAATCTGGTTTTACTCTAACAGTTTAATCCGGTGTTTATTTTGTTAAACTAGATTTTCTTGGCATTTTTTAATTTGACTTTTTATGTACTTATTTATCTTTAACAGCCCCTACATAAGATTTATAAAGTGTGACCATTTTGTGCCTTGCAAATATAAAAAATGTTTAGCCTATACGGGAGTACAAGGAATTGTGGCGATCAGCTGAACAAAGAAAAGCCCCAAAACTAATTTGATTTTTTTTACACTTTAATATTTTGTAACCCCAATGATAACATTTTCAGAGAAAACTCCCAACAGTAAAACATTTTGGGATAACCTGACACTTCTGTTGTATCTGTTTTATCTTCTTACTTTACATCTTGCCTAAAGTGCATCTAAAGGCATCATTTTAGTTGTGGATACAGTATAGAATAATTTTTTTACATTTAAAGTAGGGTTTTTTTGCTTTCTATGTCCTCGCTGGGTTGATTCTCCCTTTCTATGTTTCTTGGTGACCATTGTCGCTAGACCGTAAGTGGGGGGAGAACTAAAAAATGGCAGTTTTTGCTAGAACAGGAATAGAGTTGAAATCTTTTGTGAAGGTTCTCATTTATCCAGATTATGGCATAGCTAGTTGTAGTCAGTCACATTCAAGTGGGCATGTTTTTTATTGTTAAAGATGTTTTGCAACTTATCCAAGCCACTTCTTTAGTTCTAATGGGTGTCAGGAACATACCGTAGCCACATGGGTAACTCAGTCAACTGAATCCAATCACCGTGGAATGTGTCGAGATTGATGTTGATTTCCCAAGAGCAGAATTTTAGGTGTGGAAATTGTGGAACTTGCTTGTTCCCTAAAGGGGGTGAGGGTCTTCAAATCCATCTATCTCTCACATATGATGCCATTGTAACATCTATACTCTGGCAACTTGATAACAATGATTACCTTCAGCCATGAAAATCCAATGATTATCACCTTTTACAGACTTCGTGGCACCAAGGGAAGGGATTATGTCATTATAACAGAGTGGTTTGACAACTATAGAAGAGATAGTCACCCGCACACCAAGGTCCAATGCATCAATATGTCCTTTTATTGATGGCAGATACAAATGGCATTACAAGTATGAGCAACGTTTTGGAACCTACCAAGGCCCCTTCATCAGGCAATAGTTGCCTGATGAACATAGTGAAGAATGGTACTCACAAAAGAGGTGAATAAAAAGAGTGTTGGACATAAATCTAAGGATACATGCAGATTCCTAGCAGTCAGAGAAAACAATCCAAATATGCTGCTAGACCAGCAGAAACAAGCTGACTCAGCTGAGCGCGTTTTCAAGGAGTTTCCCCTTCTTCAGAGCTGGCTATTTTGAATTTGTGAGGCGCCAACTGCTCGTCATCCCAGCACCCTTCTACATACTACACTGGGAATCCGGTCTGGTGTGCAATGGGATATCTGTTTATTGTGGTTCCACATCTATGACACCTCTTATCTTGATCCTGGACAATCAATGATTGCCTTAAACATTCCGTGGTGATTGGGATAAGCTGGCTGAGTTACCTATGTGACTGTAAATGATGAGGTATGTTCCTAACACTCATTAGAGTGTTCAAGAAGCAGCTTAGATAAGCTGTAAAACATATTTTATGTTACAGAACAAGTCCAGTTGGATGTGACTAACTATTACTAGTAAAAATCTTCCAATTGATACAAGATGGAATTTTGGAATTTTTCTTGCTGTATAGAAATGTCCTCTTACTTCCTGTTGTGTCTACCAGATTGGAAGTAAATGTAATTCTGCCCAATAAACACAGGCAGCAAAACTAAAAACCATACAAGGATTAAACCATTCCCTACATTGTTCAAAATGAAAAATAGTCTTGGCTTTAGATATACTTTCAGCCCCATTCACATATTGAAAACAACGCTTAGAAAGTTGAATATGTCATTAAAGCTGACATGGCAATCCAAACACTGCATTTTCTTTTGATATAGAGAAGCCTTCTGCACAAGCTCGAATCAAATTATGGTGGTGGTAGTTAGATTATAAGCATATAATGCATGTTGATTACTCAACTCAATAATGCACATTTGCTGATAAAAATTGTTTTCAAATGGTAAGTTTGTAAATAGAGCTTTTGGCTCTAGAGTTGTTAGCTATAGGTTTTTGGGGCAACCAAATTTAACGCACGGGGCAAATATTAGGTGCTTTTCATCCTTTTGCCAGTAATCACACATTATTGTACAGCATTGGCTCCTTTCATAACTCAAAGCAAAAAGATTACCACTTTAATGTGAAATGCTTGGGAAAGTGATAGTGGATGCATGAGGGCCATATTGGTGCATGTATGCAGTTTTTGAGTAATATTTAAAAGATTTTCTTCTCGATCTGGATGTGCAGCACACATGTAACATTCCTGTATTGTTAATATTTAGCCCCAGACAAATCTGTTGCAGTCAGGCTACCCACCAATTAAACCAAGAATGTTGGGTGGTGGTATCT